TTTTGTAAAAGTTTCTTCTACTTCTAAATAAATTCCATCAAAAATTAATTGAGTAAGTTAAGACAGGGCAGGAGACGGGAGTGGGGCGACAGGGATTTGAGCATCCTACAACACTTTCCTTGCATATTCCTCGACGGTCTCGTGATTGCTGCTAATACTCTGACGCTTCGAGGGAGCGTGATGAAAATCGTGAAGCCTTGTCATTTCTACCGAAACGTCTGGTCGACTGTTAACGCTGGTGGCGGTGTGTTTAGCGCCCAATGAAGAAGTCTTGAAAGTCTGTCAACTTTTATTTTTATTCTTCACACAAGGTCGTACTGGCAAGCTTCTTTGAAGTCATCTGGCAAATGATCTTTCCATCAGACTCCTTCGGATTTTCAGCTCTTCGAAGCATTCGTCTGTTGCGAATTTTCAAATGCACCCGGTAGGTTTACAACTTACTCGTTTTTATCTTTTCAACGGATAAGCGGCTGTCTTTTTTGCTTATGTTTTAAAGCTCATTTTCCGCCTTCATTGGAGGTTGCTTTACTAAGAAATAGGACATTAATTTATGCTTTCGCTCCAAAAGTTGCAGATTCACTCAGTGATAATTTGTTTTGGTCACGCTATCTGCGTGTACTTCTTCTTCTGCTTCTGTTCCAGTTTTTTTGACCTCCCCCACTTACTTTCACTTTTAAAGGAATTATTTTTGGCGTATTTTAAAAAGCACTGCCAGTCGAATCTGCTAAGATCGACGTGCTCCTCTCTACTACTTTTGATCGAAAGAACTGCCTCAAAAACAAAACGGTGTACTTATAAGAGAATCGACTAAATTTAAAAGTTTTGCTCTATCGGAGGTGCTGCATCGCACAATGGTCCGGTAGAATGCAATTTCTCTCCTCCTTGCTGCAGGTATTGGGCTTCGCTGAGGAATCTCATGCTGTCGTTGCTTAACTCCATGCGCAGCATTGTCAGCCTCCTCTTCCTCCTCTTCCTCTTTATGCTTATATTTGCTTTGCTTGGAATGCAATTGTTTGGCGGCGGGTAGGTACTCCTCTGTTGCCCTACGCATTTCATTGCTGTCTTTTATGTCCTCTCTCCTGGCACCAAAACAGTGCGTAATACGCCCCACTTAGCTATCCGACACCACGGAAAACAGCCTAGTATAATTTTAAGTAATGTACAAAATGACACAAAATGATTAGTTCCACCGGTGCCTCACAACCTGTCCTCTTTTGGGTGAAAATTATATGCCAAGTTACTCTCACGTTGTTATTGTTTAATGGAACCATAAGATAATCTGGGGTTCTCGATCTAAAAACGAGAGATTCATCCTGTTTCCCTTCAAAAAGTGACAACTCTAGTTCCATTTTGTGTTACTTAAGACCACAGATTTGTTTTTACCTAACTGCATATAATTTGTTAGGGATTTTTGTGCTTTTCTTACAAAAGTCTTGTTCTTCCAACACCTTAGTCAAGATAACCGTTCACCTTCCAAATTGAAGTCGAGACATCGAATTTACATTGTTGGAATAAAAGTAGGAAAAAAAGTAATTTAAACTCGCGTTAATTTCTTCCTCATTTACTCCTTGTCTTTGACTTTCTCTGTGTCTTTGTTCCACTCCCGACCTCTGTGCTTTTCTAATTTAGCTTCGCGTTCGAGGATGGACAACCGAGTCAACACTTTGACACCTTTGCAAAAGCTCTTCTCACTGTTTTTCAGGTAGAAAAGGACTTTATTAAAGAAATTACTGCCGCAACATACTGCAAGCTAAGTTCGGAAGAGTTATGTTTGAAAGAAGTAGACAATTTCTTAGAGTTAATCTGTTTCATAGCCCCCCTTTCCATTGTTCTGGGATTTTTTACTTGAGGAGGTGGAATTAATTTATATATTTTTTTCACCTGGTCTACTGAATTATTAAGTTGACGTCTTTTGATGAAACTGTATGAGTAGAACTGGAAAGATCGGAAAAGGGCGTTTTTAGATTCTTACAGGCGAGGACTGGAACACCATCATGTACAACGGCATTCGCTCGCAGGGCGGCCTTTCCAAAGGCGCTTTCATCTACTCCATCTACTTCGTCCTTCTCATGATTTTTGGCAACTGTATCCTTCTTGCCTTTTAAAGGGGTAGACGTACTCCTTTTATCCCCATTTTACAAGGAAGAGATAGAGGTCTGAGAGCAGCGACACCTTGCGATAATTACGATGCCCTGCTTTTTAAGTTCTACCCTCTTTGCCCGTTGGTCCGACTCAAAAATCTCAGTGTGTTAACACAGAAAAAAGTGACTCCTTTAAACAGCAGGTTATTAAAGCTAAACTTTTTTGTCTGTAAAGAACGATTTTTGCTAACGTCCAAATGGTTGCACTATGAGGAGCATTAAACAAAAAGCATTTTGCCTCTCATTTATTCTTACCCACTCTCAAACACACTCAACCTTGAATTCAAAACTGAAATTCTTTTAAAAACACTTTCCATTTCTTTTGCTAAGGCGTCTATCCTTTCCCCTTCCCTGCCTCCAGCGTGGTCTACTATGAAAGTGGGATACAGCAGAAGAGATTAAAACAAATTTATTTTTTAAAAATTACTTTGGCCATCCCTACAGCTGTATCAAAGTTTACTCGCATCTACAACCGATGACTATTTTTAGAGTATGAAAGGATCGTTTCCACCGTATGGAGCTCTTCGATATGAATTTGAGGGAATGGAGTGAGAAAAATTATGCCTTGGAGAAGCACCGAAATCAGTGGACTAATTTTAACACAATTTTCTTACAGTGACGACAAAATCTCAGCTACGAGACGTTCCCACTTTTGCCCTCTGGGGAAGGATATCTACCGAACGTGACTCCATAAAATATATAACCGAATCGAAGCGCTTATTGCGAGGTCAAAGTAGATAAACTCCAAAGTGGACATTTTTGCGTAATCGCTTTCCTCTCCACAAATCCACAAATTTGTGATTGGTGTGAGAAGGCGTAAAATTGGCAGTACCCACTCTACCCTTTAATAATACCGTTTGGACGGCAATGCACCACTAACGGAGATGTCTTTTTCCTTGATCTAAAACATGCACAAAACACAAAAACGCCAGACACACTTTTGAATGTCTTCTTGGCTATTGCGGTTGACAACTTGGCCAATGCCCAAGAACTGACAGCTGTGGAGGAGGCAGAGAAGAAGATTGCAGAGCAGGTTCGTTCACTTCTGTTTCAATCATTGAGTTGTTTGCAAAAGGTGGCACTTCATCAGCGAGCTTGAACAGTACACAGGCGTTTGTGGACTAACCTTCCTCAAGAGATAAAAGTTGGTCGCTGTTGGAAAATTCGACATGCTTTGGTCTCTCAGAGGCGTTGCCTATTGAAAGACTACAATATGGCAACCTTATTGGAAATACGACTAAAGCACAATGTTAGGAGAGGAACACCTATTGAGGGTAATGGATTGTGTTGTTAAGGCAAACACGCTTCTCAGCTTCGAATGACGGGGGAAAGAGGGGGAAGTAGCAACTAGTCGAACATATTCACAACCTTGATATTGAGGCTTGATAACCAAAGTGCTAATTTATCAGATTTTCCACCCACTGTAATGTAAAACTTAAAGGCTCTTTTGCACCATTTCAATGTGAACTTCATTTTTCGCAGCTGATTTCTACAATCCAATGGTCTAGCCAGTTGGATTTATTGCGTCCGGAAGTTTTACCAAATGATAGCTTTAAAAATCGCAATTGAAATAAGAAGTATTGTGTTGAAATTCGTTTAGGTGTGGAAATTTCATAATGAGAGCTGTGTTCTCTTCTCCTTTGAGCAGAAGAAGGCCGACCAATTGAAGGAAGAGTACTTCCAAATGGGACTCCTTTCCAACGAGAGCCTTGTTAACTCAGAAAAGGATCTGTAAGTTCCTTTTTTAAGCCTTTGTATTCCATCGTTCAATGAAAAAAAGGAAATAATTGTAAATAACTTAAAGAAACGGAATTGTCTTAAAGTCTGTCGGTGAGGGAGCAGCACCCACACCTAGGATCATGAGGTTAGTTTAGGCAAAAGCTGATTCTCTTGACTACTGTGAAACTGATTTCTTACGTTCGTTTATTGTTTTCTCCAACACAGGTCAAATTCGATCGGTCAGAAGTTGGCAAAGCATTATGAGGATCGTAAGTTAACTAAAAAGCCGTTCCCTTTCTTCACCTCACTATCAGAGGGAAGAAGTTCCTGTAAAAGCGTCCTCATATTGGCTGTCCACTTCCCTTGCAACGCAAATGGACACCTAAGCTCCGTTCAGATTCGCATTCCCTACTATTGTGATCATTTTTTAGTCTCTTTAAGGAAGACCAATCCTTTTCATAGTTAGCAGAATAAGACCCGCCCTAAATGAGGAATGCAACTTGTCTCCCCTGCATAAAGCACGATCCCCGCATTAAAATAGGAGACTTTCAAAGCCTTTCGCAACTTCTAAATTTGCGTTTAAAGTGTCGGATTAACGCCTTACAAGTGCTGGGTTGTAAAGCATTCGGAGAAGGCAAGGTAGCAAAAGGACACCACCCTCTCATTTCATAAATAAATAATCTCAGTCAATGGAAATTCTCTGTTCTGGATAGCTAATGACAAGGCGGTTGACAACGATTAAAGGGCGGCGGCTGCGGCACTGTACGCCATGGACATCAAAGGTCACCTTGAAATCAAAAGACGGGCATAGAAGCTGTCACATTACTCGCTTTACTTGGTGACTGTTCTGTCGCTTTACAGCTTTGCCAACCCCTCCATGTTTTTTGGTGCAAGTTGAGACCTCTTCACTTCAGCTCTGCAGAACAATAAACCTGCTCATGAAGGGGATCAACCATATTTCTGAGTGTGTTAGCTCGAAGGGTCCCTCCTTATCCCACTCTGCCTCATTTTTGACACCTAAAGTACTATGCGGTCATGAGCAAAACAAAGTAAGTACTTAAGCAATCAACCAACCAACTGAAGGAAGGGAGTGAGAATGGACAGAGAGTTGATTTTTCTATTTGCAGATTTTAAAAGATTTTGAAACCAGTTTCTTTACCAAACTTGATCTCAGCGGCAGCCTTTCACGCCTGTAAAAATCACGACATCTTTATTACCTGCAAGGTAGGAGTAATTAGGTGGGAATGGAGGATGAG